AAGAGTGTGTGATTCCATGTGTGATATTTAATGAGGTTAAGGCTGCATTCTAACTTTTGTGTTCGCGTTCACAGCAAGAGGGAAACTTGTTTGAAGACAGATTCAAGAGTCTTCAGCGAAGAAATATCATTGAAGCAAGAAAACCTGTAAAGTAAGTTTTCTTCCTCGGCTTCCTTCATACTGCACTGATGGACATGTGCGTGGAATTCTAAAATGTGTATTATTTACACAGCAGGACCTGCAGAGAAAGTAACGTCTTGACTGTAACATTATATTCAAAAAATCTACTTGTGGCCGGGACGATAACGTGGAATTGTCAGTTCTGTTTCATGACGTCTGACTGATGTTAAAGAACTACAGTCGAACCTGCATATAACGGCCACCCACGGGACTTGAGGAACTGGCTGCTTAATACAGGATCACTAAAAATACTCACTGGGCGTGGTCTAATGTCAATTGTAATGGGCGTATCAAACAAAAACACTTTATGCAAGTGAAAAAATAGGACAGTCAGCACTCTTTCAAGCGATCAATACTTAAACAAGGTTCAGTGCCTACTCGTAACTTAACGGTACAATATACGTAACATCGTGTAAAAGTACTGTGCAATAAATTGCCCTCTACTCTTCCACGGTATACAGTACTGTGTTTCTATGACTTACAGTTTACAACAAAATATCTCAATCCGTCATTTCATAGTTGTTTAAAAAGGTAAAGTCTGCATGCGAGCCACGTGGCCCATCAGACCGGAGCTTATCCCGGTTTCTGTAGCATGAAGTGACTAGGAGTATTTCTACTCCCCCCTGGATGGGATGCTAGTCCATCGCAGGGTTACCCCCAGCATTAAGTTCGCCGGTACCCATTTATACACCTGGGTGGAGAGAGGCACTGTGAGAGTAAAGTGTCTTGCCCAAGAACACAACACAATGTCTCCGGCCGGGGCTCGAACCCGGACCGCTCGATCCGGAGACGAACGCACTAACCATGAGGCCACCGCGCTGCCTACTTCACAGTTGTTTAATACGTTCAATTTCATAGTTGTTACATTCAGGGTGGCCGCTTAATGCAGGTAAAAATAACAAAGAAAGACGAACATAGTACTGCTACAGTAGTGGAAAACCCCTGAAGGCAAACACCGTTTTCAAGTCACATGGGAACACTACATTGCCACCTTCTCATAAGTTGACTGAGAAGTCTCTTTTAAGTCATGGTCCAAACCACTTGTGAACACTACATATCTACCCTCCTATAAGGCTGACAACTCTCTAACGACTGCACACGTCCTCGTTTTCCGAGGTTTTCTGCTGACGGGTGGTTCGACTGTGATTTAAAGTGGTTGTAAATATTCGAAAAGACCTTGTCATGTTAAGTTGATCCTTTACTCTTGCAGACCACATCGAAAATACAAGCAAAAAACGTACAAGAGAAAATCATACGACAAACCCTGTATAAAAGAAATCTAGCTTTGGAACTGAGGTAAGAGGCTTCGTTGTCGATTTTATATGATAGTCACGCAGTGAATCAACAGACTTTGTAAGTATTTCGATTCCCAAGCTGGAAATGTTAGCCTGGAAAATTTGACAGCAATATTTACATTTACGTGTTGATGTTACTCTTGGGCTGGAATTGCAATCACGAGTGTCTTGTGTAGATATTGTACTGCACCAAAAGTTTCCGCGTTCTTTCAGCTTTGTAGACCTGGAAGATTACGTAATTGTCTCATGGACTTGATTGCATCTTTCCCCTAATACGAGTTGAGTTCTTGAGTTGGTAATACGACAACTGGTTTACCTTTCTTGTTGTTCTTACAATCTACGTTTTTTTTAGGAAAAGTTTTCTTTTTCTTGTTTCAGATGCAGAGAGTAACCGGTCCGACAACAACGTGAAGCAAGCTGTCATGGAGCATCTCAAGACAGCCAGGCAATTCGTTTTCCGAAAGACCATCGCGAGGTTTAGATTTTGGAAATCAAAGTCATACCGAAGACTGCTCTTTCCAAGCCCTAAACAGATCCAGGGATGACTTGTCTCTGTTGGTGAGAAATCGAGGCGAGTGGTGGGTTGCGTGACGATGTGGGACTGAAAAATGCTGGCTACGGAACAAAATGCTAAGTTTTAAATGAAAGACTCCCTATCTAATGCGACATGAAGTTGCTAGCCTTGTAACTGAACAGGTCATAAATATATAATGAACCACCGTTAACTATTTGAAGTTCTTTGCAAGAAATTCCAAGTTAATTACCAGATACTAAGAGACATAAAACTAAGAGAGCAAAATTTTATCGAGGTCGAAAGACCTGCAGAATTTCAAGGAATACCTATCACCGTGACCAAATTTTAATTGAAGCCGCAATTTTTAATTCAGTGGTGGCAAGCTGACGTGGCAAGGTGCGCTTTCACCTGACTATTCGTGTAATGTTTTGATTGGTCAATAGCAGTCATGAAATCTTCCAGTTCGTTAACCATTTCATTCCCGGGCTTCAACCTCAAGTTTGCTATCGTGTTGCTGTGACTGTTTGTGACCGTTCATAAATGAAAGCTATTGAGCGGTACTTTCACATGCTTCTGTTTATTATGCTGTACACGGTAGAGCGCGTCTACAAATTCAATTGAATGCTATCGAGTTATAGTTTCTTGCAGTTTGAGTTTCTATAATTCAGATACTTATTGAACGGAAAAGAAATGGTGCAGAGTTTTATCCGTAACGGAAAGATAAAACAATTCAAACTTGGAGAGCGCGTACTTTTTCCTAAGTTTGTAATTTTTAAGTGGTGTATAGATGTGTTGGGGAAAAAAGGGAAAAAAGAAAATGTTTCATATTTATTCGATAAAAGTAAATAATGTGAATTAACATAAATTCTTACAAAAAATCTTGTTTGGATTTTCTTAAGTGAAGAAAGGTGGGGGAAGACTTCTCATGCGATCATCGACTAAAACGAACATGAAAATGGGAGAAGAAATACCGTTTTATCAAAATGCGATTAATTTGTTTTAACAAGGTGGCTTTTAGTAGTCTGCCGTGGAACAATTAAAAATCAACCAACAAATAATAACCAGATGCGGCATCGAAATAAGAATTAGATGTTTTAATATGGGCCCGCTTAATGAAAACTGAAGTGTTCATTTGCATATGTTCCTTTCTTTCATGTAGTTACAACGAACGTTTGATGAACGAGCGCCCTGCTAAATAGCTGCACACGAATGGTTTGTACTTAGGATAACGGAAAACTTAAATCTTGGCTCTTTTTCCTTGCCTGTTGTATATTTTCTCTGTTTTTTTCGCGGCACTTCTTTTTAAACTGTATGATTTTATTCTGATAGTCATCTTGCTGTTTATGTGAACATAAAAGTTCCAATACTGCTGCTTCATTAAAGTTTAACAAGTTAGATATTTAGATAAGTTTGTTTGTCTTGAGATTGGTGGTCCTGCTATGTGCGAGTTTTTATTATTATTATTATTATTATTTTTTATTTAAATACAACTCCTGGTGGTCGACTCACTTATGAAACAATCCGCGCAACAATGAACAAAGATTTTTGGATGCAATGTTTAAGACTGGATTAAATTTTGAATTACCAATAAACCAATACGAGATTTACGCGATAAGATCTTTTACAATCGTGATCTTTTAAGGATCTTTATGTCTAACAAAAGTATGTTGTCCTATTTTAGTATCGAGACCACTTTTTGATATAAATACTTTAATTGTCCTTTAACAAAATCGCTAAGAATCTTATTTTCTTGAAATATAGAACCATTGTCTAGCAGGCGGGTACTGAGAATATAGAAATCGACTTGCACATATTTTGAATTCGGTTTTTTCTGGCTTAGAATTGGGTAAATTCGTTCGAGTGTTTCTTAGTTTTCGTGTTAACCGGTAAAAGATATTAGTTTACGTAAGGGGCAACACACAGCTGTAGGCGTGTTGCTGATTTTTCATGTTTCTTCATTCCCACTTCACCAACTTTCCATTGGTTGTGACTTCATCTTGCTGAGTTTTATCTCAGTTTGTTATTGATAACATTACTCAACGTATAACACACGTGGTTCTTGCTTTATGCCTATAATTTCTATGAAGTTATCACGGCATTTTCTGCTTGGATGCTAAACTTCAAAGACGCTTCCTTGAAATTTTCGTTCAAACTGTTTTTCTATGGCCTTAAATTTTTTTCTCCGCCAATACTAAATTGGTCGGGAAAAAGACCACGATTTTTAATTGATCAGTGCGTCACAATTGAGCCCGCTGAAGTCACGTGCGTTTTTGTTTTTCGAGCTCGCAGTACCACTTGCTTTCTAGACCAATCACAAGACGTCTTCGTGTTTGCACGCACCTGGTATTCCATTTGCCTACCAAAGTAAACCACCTGAAGACGTCATGCTATATCACGTGCCTTAAAGTTAGAAACCACAACACAGAGATTCATTTCTTGATTAAATCAGAGCCCAAAATCAGAGCCCAAAATCAGAACATGCGTCAGATGATTTCTCTGTACCGTTAACATGACTTCAAATTTCATTTACGTTGGGCTCACAGGAAGATTCAGAATCATTTTCAATCTTTTTCTAATTTTGTCTCCCTTTGATATTCTAAAAACTTAATTAAACAATAGACCACAAGTTTTTATGATTTATAGGCTGATAAACCACGCGGGATGTTGGAAGAACACTCGAAGAATTCGTAAATCACTCGCCCACGGCTCGTGATTTACGATTTCTTCGATAAACCAGGTAGGATGTTGGAAGAACACTCGAAGAATTCGTAAATCACTCGCCTGCGGCACGTGATTTACGAATTCTTCTCGTGTTCTTCCAACATACCGCGTGGTTTATCAGCTTATAAACCATAAAAACTTGTGATCTATTGCTTTTATACAATAATTCAGAAGACACGCGAAATTTCCATGAGTTTACAGGCACAATAAACCATAGCTGATTGACCAATCAGAGCGCGCGCATTCATTTGATTATTATATAAGTTGTTGATACTGGTCTCGTTTATATTAACGGTAAAGAGATAACAAAGCAGGAATAATATTAATTGGATCAGTGCTAATAAGAAAATCGCCACACTTGCACAGCATGTTTCATTTCAATAGCGAATGCGACGCTCTGCAGAGAAGACTTGATTCGATAACTGTTTTGGTTGATCGTTTTTAAGATAATCACTTCCTAGGCTTGTTTTCCCTGACAATGGAACTTCATTTTAGTGTTGAGTGGTCGACTGAACTTCTCTGGAAGTTCTGAGAAACGAAATGGGTGACAAAGCTGCCGCATCGGAAGATTGGAAAACTGAAAGGATTCAAATGACACACCTGGCAAATTTCTCGAGAAGCAGTTCTTATGTCCGCAGCTTGGTACGGCAACAATTTCACCAGCAATCGGATCAGCCAGCGACTGCGTGGGAAAGACTTCGTGAGAGGCTGGCTAAAACCGGTCAAGCGGGATCCTTCGACAGTGATGAAGAAGTTCCGAAATTTGTAAAGAAGAGAGAGAGTGTTAATACTGCTAGACCAGATAGCGACGAAAACAGCGACGACGAGGATGGAAATGAGGAAGAAGAAAAGTATGTGTACTTAAAAACTGCGAGCCCCGAACACAGATTTTCCATAGCGAGCGAGACTGGAAAGGATAAGCTGGAGCCACCGTCGTCAGGATCCACTCGCCGTTTATCAGCTCCTCAGGCGCCATCCAGCACAGACAAGAAGTACATCCTCGGTTCTACAGACGCTCATTCAAAAATCTTAAACCGCAGACTCTCACTTGCAGAAAATGTCATCAAAAATTACAACAAGTACATTCGGACGCCAGATGTGGATCAACCGCTGATTAAAACCGACAACGATAGCGAACGGGAGCAAGCGGGTAAGAGGCTCAGTACAGTGGCAATTTCTGAAGAGGAAACTTCGACACTTGTAGATATCAAGCTTGTGAATAATCCTGAAAGTCCTGTTTCATCGGCTTCGGGTGATTTTTTGGCTGTCCCTGTTGGGTCATCTTACACAGTACCACCAAGCCCTGCAGCTGAAAGCGAAAATTCATTCTTTGAAACTGCGACTGGTCGAAATTCTTCATGTGACGTGATTTCCGAGGAACTATCGCTCGCTCGAGGTGGTACCGATGTTACTTCGGAGGCGACAAAGAACAAGCTTACCACAGACACGCTGCCTAGATTAACGAAGACCAGCACGGCTGGCAGAAAGAAGGTTTCAGCAAAGAGCCGAGACGAGGCCATCAGAGAATTACGCAACGATTACAACAAGTTGGCCAAGAACAACGTCTTCAATCGAAGCGCTACTCGGCGAAGAAAGGAGACATTTTATAAACAGCTGCAGCGCGATCAGGAAAGGCGCGCCCGGGAATCAGAAATTTTTAACCGAGAAATGGAGGATATAACAAAAGCGCTCAAAGGAATTAACAGTCGCTTGGACGAGAGAATTAAAGTTCTAAATTGCTACGAGCCTCCGAGGGTGAACGTAAAACTTCATCGTATCTTGCAAGTCGCCTTAACCGGCATCCCTTTATCCAAATAGAGTTTGCAAGATTGAGTGAAAAGCAAAGACGATCTGTCTCAACATGCAAAGTAACCTCCTTCTTTTGTAGAGCAAAGCAGGGGAATGCTCATTCCAGATATTAGTCTCGCAATGTGGTCGATATTATATTTTTGGAATCATTGAGATGTGCGATCCTTTATCTTAAAAAAGGAGATTTGCTATACAGTTCAGCAATTTAAAGGTGAAAGCTCGGTTACCGAGAAGAAGCTTAGTTTCGCTACAGCAGAGTTAGTGATTCCTTCTTCTTCTGTAGGAAAACTTGTAAAATATTCACCACCAAAATGAATAGAGGTTGCACTAGAATACTGTAGCAGTCATGATCAACAATCAGCCTCGAGAGATTTCTTTTACAAAGGTGAGGAGAGATTTGACATAACAGGTATACTACGTGCAACTAGTTTACTTCAAACTAGATGTAACTCGTCTCAGTGTCGAATCTGTTGCCGGGTGTGGAGAGCACGCACACTACGTTTGGGGAGCACGTATATCGTGTTTGTAGAGCAGGTATAATTCCGTTTTTTGTTTCTACGTTGATCAATTTTTTCTAGAAACAATTTACTTATTTAATTTGGAGAAATCTTTAGGAACGCCTTTGGAAAATGCTCTGGGGTTTTTCTGCTTTACAAATGTAATGAAAACAATTTTTATCAGACTAAATATCTTTTCATATCTTTGTAGAGCAAGAAAAAAATTCATCATATATTAAACAGACGGGGTTCTGTGGCTTCCATTAGAAATACGCAATTCTGATTGGTTCTCCCGTTGTTATCTATTCACGCATAGAACAACACCGTTTTCGTCTCATTTACACCTGTTCTCATCACGTAAACGATAAACGAATAAAGCGCTGAAAAATATACCAATCTAAATAGCACTAGTGCGAGGCTGACGATTCACGTGACTTCAGCGTTCACCAACAGAGATGGTAGATATTACGTCAAAGAAATAGAATACCGACCACAAGCGAGAATACTTAGATTGTCCTTTCTTTATGAATTTATTCACTTTAGAGAGCGTCTTACCAAAACATAGATTTACATAAGCATTCAGTCGTCGTTCGTGTGCCAACGAAAGGCGTAAACGTACTCAAAACGTCCGTTTACAGAAGCGGAAAATTTATACGAGTGGACGGGTGATACACTACATGTACACGCCCTTGTGTTTTGGAAAACTCCTACGTGCAGTCCAGTTGTTAAAAAAAATAGGTTAATGAAAAGCCTGACTTCAATGTTTTTCGCATACCCAATGTTGGTAATTCACTTTCAGAAGGTATATACATTTTTTTATATTTTGCAGAAGATAACTTTCTTGACAGGGTAAGATTTTGTTCAGTTTATTTCATTATTTCTGGGTTATGCAGGTGCACTGGTAGAAAAACTACAATTACGTAAGTCGAGAAAGACTGTTTCATAAAACTAAAAGTAATACATCTTCGTCACACATCAAAACAGAATAGTGATGCTTTGTCTATGAAAATAACTGTAACTCAAACTGAGTTTTTTTTGTTTTTTGTTTTTCGTTGTTTTTGTGTTAACCAGAATACAGTATTCTTGCCATTTGAGCAGCGAATGAGATTCTTAACTTTATATAATAGTTCATTGAGTGCATGATCTCTTTTCACATTTTTATAATAACTGGAACTTGTGTAAGATGCTGTTAGCACAGACGGGAAGCACTTTTGGACTGTGACCTCACAGTGTCTGTGACGTCACATCACACCGTTGTAACATGACGGTGCGTTGTCGAAGAGTTTGACGTATGACTCAAAACACTGAGTATGGATTCATCAAGAAGGTATGAAAAAATTAAAGCTGGACGACATTCAGCCGTAGTTATTTTGAAATCTGCGCCCAGCGCGGTGCGCTAAGAAAACCAAGGACGCTTTTCATTCAACCAAAAATTCTGACACTGCCCCCTGGCATACGTTTCTTTGTAAAAATTTGCAAGTTTAGGGTCCCGTATTTTCACGACCTTGCAGCGGATTCCTATAAAACTTCGCTTATTCACTAAATAGGGCATATTCGTATTCCCGGCATTGGACTGGAACTAGCGTGCAACTGAGGCTAATATACGGGGAGTCTTGTTAAATGCAAATGACGTTTATATCTTTTTAATGACATTTCCCCGTATGAGCCTTCATTACAAGCTACAGTCCAGCAATGAGAATACGAATATGGGATCTATGGAGGTTTTTTTGTTTGTTGTTTTTACGCAATACTATCAATTCTTCGTGCTTTTCATTCTAAAAAATGAAAAGTATGAAAAATTGTTGATATTGCGTAACATCGGTAAAAAGATCCATTACCGTTCTGCTTGACTTAGTTTAAAACACGAAGTTTTTTAATTGTCAGTTCCTTAAAAAACTAGCCAGTTGGAAACAAGGCTAGAATACGATATATATAAATGGTTAAAACAATTTCATGTTGACTGTCTCTAAGTTATGGGATATATCAAACGCGGGATGTCCTTACGTGCTCAGAGGAATTGTCATGTTGAATTTTTATACTGGGAAGCTTGCTACACGCGGAATCATTGTTGAGTGATTCCGAACAAGGTTGAATCCCGGTTTCATCATTCAAGTCCTCATCACCATGGTTACCCTCCGTATTTGTGTTGTTATTCCACGAGGGATGCTTTTCTTGAATGAAACCTGGCGGGGAGTCACTTGTCCCGATCTTTCGGAGTCTTTTCCCGCTTTGAAAATTTTGATCGCTTTGAAAGATAAAAATATCTTCTTCCTCCTTGTCCCCATCAAGCTCCTCACAAGGGTGAGCCTGCACTACACTTCCGTTGATCAGCGGTTCGCACTCGGTCACGTGTTCCTTCATGCAACCTGTACTCAGACGACCCCTTCGTCGGTTCACCAAGGAAGCGTTATTGTCATGACACGTCGTGAAGGCACTGTGTCGTCGACGTTTAGGGCCATTTTCACTTTTACAGTCAAACACTTTAGAGTTGCTATGCACGGCTTGATTCTCGCCGTTTCTAGGTGACATATTTTTACCAATATTGTATTCCATGATGGAATAAGCTGATACAGCCCTACCCATTACAGGAACAGGTTTAACAGGTAATTTGAAATCGTCTCCTTTTTCAAACGGGGTATTTGCTTGTGGAATGGTAAATTCACTTGGTGAATTATCCTCATTTGGTGTAGTTTCGCTCATTGTTTCCTGGTAATGCTGACTTTGATTGACGTTTTGATTGTCAGCTACAATATTTTCATTCTTCCTACTATGTCCATGACTTGCATTTTCTCCATGATCTACCTGTGAATTTACAAGCTTCCCGTCACGTTTTCCTCTGTTGCCGGCTTCCGCTTCATGTGGTAGCGTCACGAATTCTACAGGCTTAAACTCAGTTTCATTTCTGTCATTACTGTAATCAGTCGCGTCGTTTTCGCGTTTTCCCTTTTTCGTCGCTGGCAGACTGTGACTGTTCTCGGTCCCTTTTGTACCAGTGCGACTCTCGCTGCTGTCTTTCCGTTTCCTGTGACACTCAACGGGGACGCTTAGAGTTACTTGAGTCCCGTCAACCTTTTCTGTCGGGCTGTACACTAAACTACCATCACTCCCTAACCGTGTTCGATTCCCGTCGGTATTAGCAAGCCCATCACTACCCGCGGTTCTCAAACTCGAGCATGAACAAGTCATTCGGGAATTTATCGAACACAGGCTCTGCACACTGGCTTGATCCGACAGAAGAATTATCGGTCCTTTACTGTTCAAGGCGTTGTATAGCTCATTGTAGCCTCGCGGCAAGGCGTTTAAGCTAGACGCCGTGGACGCGCTCTTGAGGCTGAAAGACGCTGGTGACACGGCGCCGCGTCTGAGGTGTAGTGGGTAAAGCGATTTGTTTATCAGCGGGGTCCGATGGATTTCTTTCGCAGTTTCTTTAGCTGAAATTTTTCTTTTGGATCCCATTGGCACGTGAAGTAAGGCGTTTTCATCTGGTAGCGAACCTGGATGGGATTTAATCAAGTGAACTATATCATAAATAAGAGCCAGTATAATCCCAATTGAACGAGAAACGGTTAAAAAAACTGATTACCCCGGTGAAATTTTACGGAAACTCGTAACAAATTGCTAAAGAATTATTATTACATTTACCTCCCATTTGATCCCTTGGTATGTCAGTCACCGACGGCGCCCTAGAGGGCGGCTCGAATCGCAAGGTGATTCCCTCTGTAGATCTTTTCTTTTGGGTCCTGAAATCTGAAAACACCGAATTCAATGATCTGCTTCGGCTTACGGATCGTTTCTTAGGCCTCAGTAACCTCGACATCGAACGGAGAGACCAGAAAGAGGATTTCTTTAAACTTCCCCTGGGAGTAACCGAACAACTTATCGAGATCTCGGAGGGAAAGCTTCGTTCTGTTTGCCTCTCACTGCACAGTGACGTAAATTTGGCATGCGCTCCGTCATCGGGTGTTCCTTGTGTTCTCTGATTGTGCATGGACGTGAGAGCATGGGAGAAAGCAACTCGCCTTTTCTTGGGTGGTAAGTTGAGCCTGGCTTTGGCGTAGGTGTAGAAGAGGGAAAAGTTACTTGCGACCACTGATACTGGTAACGCAATGACCAGCACCCCGCATATTGCACATGCGCTTCCCACGGTCTTTCCAATCCACGTGCGAGGATATACCTCGCCGTAACCAACCTGTAGAGTAAAGGCAAACAGCTTTTATGACTAAAGCTTGGTTGCGTCTAGGTTACCGCCATGCTGCACTCTCGTCATTGTGAAACTCTGACTGTCTCAACCATCATCTTACGTAGAAAGAATAGCTCATTTATGGTTGGCTCTTACCACCTGCATGGGCGAGCTTTGTTTGTAGAGGTGGCGAAGTTCAAAGTGTTGGTCAACTATAGGAAAGCGTGAGCATTTTAGGGGAATAAGAGGTCAGTTCTTTGACAATGGGATGAATTAAAGCGTTCGTTATTAAAACAACCGCAAGAATCAAGCAGCTGATATGACGAAGCTCTATAACAAGTCTACTCACCGTTGTCATGGTAATCACAGCCCACCACATGCTCTCGGGCACACTTTTGAAGTCACTGTCAAACTCGTGTCTTTCCAGGAAATACACAAAGCTGGCAAACACTACCATGACGAATCCCATGAATACTAGTAACAGGCACAGCTCACAGGAGCTCGCCTTAAGAGTGTTGACAAGCACTTGAAGAACGTAAGACAGTTTAAATAGCTGGAAAATACGTGCCGCTTTTAACATGACTAGCATCTCCAAGAATGGAATCTTTTCCAACGACGGGTGGAAAAAGAACACGTATAAAAGAACCAGCGGTATCAGGTCCGTCCAAGTGTAGGGGCTCTTTACGAAGGCTCGTTTATTAGGAGAAAATAAGAGCCTAAGAGCAAAGTCCATGGTGAACCATGATACGCAGATGAGATGGGTCACTGATAAGGCAATGTATCGAGGAGCGGTTTTGTCGCTGAAATATTCAAGCGTCGACAAAGAAAATTTGATGATGTAGGCTGTGAAAGCGACAAATGACACGACTCCAACCATCTGTGAAAAAAGAAGCGATATTGTGTTGATCTACACATCTAATGTCTCCCGACAATGTCAATACATTTTTCAGTATATTGGAATTGAGAATAAAGCACTTTCATTGCAATGACTTCAAACCAATCAGAGGCAACCGTTAAATGGCTTACGTAAGCCCACTGATTTTGTTATTGCCATTTTGTAGATAAATAACTTATCAAAAACCATTAATTTGCTCCTGTTTATAACTTTTTCTTTTTCAAAAATGAGAAAATTAATGCAAGTTCATCATTATGCCCAGGGTTGAACGCAGCCACAAATCTTACAAATTTAGTGATTTTTTCGTTTCAGTTACAAATTATAAACTGAACTCTTTCACTACGTGACGAAATGTACAGCTATTTCCACTTACTGTTGCGCACATTATGTCATACACAATGCAGTGTTTCACTGAAAACTCCTTATTTCAAACATGACGTCTGTTTTTCAATCAGGAAACAGTAGAAAATATACTCCTTTCAACCAAGACTTTACCTTACCCCATCGTTCAGTATTTTCGTCCCCTGCCCCATTGTCGACAGCTAATAAAGTGAGTTTTTCTTACCTTTGCCCAAAATGAAGTATAAGGTTCCTCAAGGCTCTTCCAGACCTTGGGCTGATATCGAGACCACCACGAGTGCACATCATCCACATCCTCAAAAAGACCCGAATCTTTGGACAAAAATTTGTCTTCTTGGCTCTCTTCAAATCCTGGAAGCTTGAAATTTTTGAGCTTCTCTTGTTTTTCTTTGTGTTGTTTGTAATTTTCCCAGCAGCACGTTTCAACCTTTTTGCAGGAAAGAAATAAAAGAAAGCTGGATGTGAGTAACATAGTTACGCTACAGAGAAAAACAAAAACAAAAACAAAAACAAACACGCTGAATACAATTCAAAGCAAAACTTAGACGGGCATGCATGCCTAATAAAGACAACAACAAAACATGAACATTAGGTTTTATACCGTTTTTGTCTGCAGCAGCCGCTTCTGATATATCACAACAATCGACCATGCTTGCTACTGAATTTAGCTAATGATTGAAATGTTCGGATAATCGCACGGAAAAGTCGAAATGGACAAAATATGGTAATTTATTTCATATGTTATACTGACATTCTGCCAGACCACTTAGCTTAAGACAAGGCGGATTTTTGGACATATTGGATACTAGAAACCCGCATTTCAGTGATAAAACTGCTCATTCATATCATAGATGGAAGTTGAACGGTCCGAAACCCTCCACGAAACATGACCAAAAATCTGAGTCCCAAAACCCCCAAACCTCAAAATAAATAAAGTATTTAATTCTGATGTCTTACGCAAGACGGAATTAACACTCTGGTGACTTGCTGATCACAGACAATACACTGAAGAGAGTTTGAGATCGATGGAGCTACAAAATGCCAATCAGTGTGTTTTTCGCAAGGTATTAACCTAACCCGCTCATACAAAAAACAACCTCGGATATTTTAATTTCAAGACCTTCTATTCAAATTAATTTTTTCTTACGTTTTACATTAAAAGAGACGTCTGCATATTCATTCGCTAACTGTAAATTAAAACCATGCCACTTTAACTTTTAACGCTTTTTTTGTCGTAGAAAACCTCAATAGTTCCTTTGATCTTAAAATGTGGGTTCGTTGCTCGTTTTGCCTATGACACTTGCCACTTTTCTTTCGAAGAACGTGATTTCACTATAGAGATATAGAACAAAGATGAATGGACAATACTTTTTCTGAAGGCCGCGGGCGATATAGCAATATATTAAGAAAAAAACTCATTTCGGTTCAATGTGACTTCGCGGCCATTAATTTATAATCCAGAAAAAAACAATTGTACATGACAGGTCCCCGAGCATTTGACGTCACTCCGAACAGCTGCTTTCAACCGAGTGACCAAATATTATGAAACAACGAAGCGGCTAGAATATGATTTGTAAGTAGCAGCAAAATTGTACAGTGTATGATATTGGATTGGATAATTGCACTATGTCTTTAACAACAAGCCATGAAACAATTGTCCTTCACTGTTTTCATGGGCCGCACACAAAATGCTTATAGGCCACGTTCGATCTATCAATATACTGACATTGTTCCGAGGCTTTCGGGACAAACGTCTATTTGGAGGTGTTTTGGGAATTGAGGGACAAAAGAACCTTAGAATTTGCAATTTCTACCTGAAAGCCTCAGAGCCATGTTAGAATTTTGATATATCGAACGGAGCCTATTCATCATGAACTTGTGACAAAACTTGGTTTCTTGTATTGACAAAAAAAGCGAAGTTGTTGTAGGGGTGACCTCACAAAATTTTGAGGATGAGAACAAAACTTCTTCGTCGCGATACTGAAAGAGGCAGTTGGAAGGACACTTAAACACGTACTCCGTAGTAAGTTCAGTTATCAACTGATAACTACACTATATATAACTTGTGAGCACGCTTAACACATTTGGTAATTTAAAGCTATTAGCAAGAGTTAAGAAATATCTTCAATTGTTACACTGCACAACAGTGCAGTTGCTGAACGCGCCTCACTCTCGATTTGCTATCTGAAAACGCGACTCCCAGAGAATTCCAATTGTCTACAAATACTGGAAAGCACCAGATGAGTACTCTTCAAACAAGTAGCGGATCGAGAAGAAGGGGAAGGGTTGAAGGTCATTTCAAGGAAAAGTCTGTTTGTTGTACTTGAAACCGTATGATCTACCATTTTGCCTTGTTGAGTTAAGATGTTTATTTCGGAAGGCCATTTAGGGAGGTCTTTGTCATACATTTCTGTTCGTGATGCTTTTAATTTATTTAAATAAGGACTGGTATCAACTGTCATCCGAGACTATATTAGTCAACTTGGTCGGACCCCTTCTTAAGTGAGGAGCTTGATCTATATAGCTTGGACTTTTTTCGTGCGTTAATTGATTTTTCTAATTCATTCTTATTTTTCTGTAGGCCAAAAAGGGAAACTGTTTTACCTTTGCATATTAAACTTATTCAAAGTATTCTAGTGACGAGCGTTTGTGAAACCTGACATATCCGTTGGTGCAGGGTCGATCTGTTTTAAATTGCAATTAATTTCTCTAACGACGAGGAAGTTCTTCGAAATCTTTTGCAAAGTAATTATATCTCATTTGCAGAGAATGGTTCAAAACTGTTAAGAGTTACTGTTACACGCATTTCATAACTCAAATGAAATAAATAAAATGAAACAAAACAAAACAAAATAAAATAAAATAGATAAACGCACTGACTTTATTCTTGAGCGCTTGTTGAATTAGTTAGTTTCCATTAGTTGTCATTCGATCTCAACACATCGATGTTGCAAATCACACTTTGATGTCCATAAACTAAGGATATTTCTCAAACTTAATGAGCGAAAACAATCCTGAATTTGATCTCTTTTGGACGCGGATTGTTATAAGCCTTGTGTAAGCTTTTCTCATAACGGGGAGTATTATCTTATCTCGACCTGTCGGTGAATTTAGTAAACAAACCTAATGTTTAGCCCACTGTAACCTTAATTTGCATTTAGAATGACAGGTTAATTCGAAGAGAGTCTTGAGTTATACGTCTAGACCCGATAATTGCTGTCAATTTTTGTTGTTGTTCATCTTTTATGAAACCTATATACTTCCCAAATTTGGTTATGCATTATGTGTAGGATTTTTTGTTTCCGTCGCTGAGCGAACGGAAGATGAGAAAAACGTTAATATACACCTGCTTCAAAGCGTTGGAGTATCTCGCTTAAAAATTAAAATTGTTTATGAATATCGATTTTAGCAATAGAATACATGAATTTGACACGCAATCGCGTTTTGAACCATTGTGAGAATAAAACTAACAAACGGGAAATACATTTAACTTTAATAATACACTTTTGAAGATGTGGCCAGAAGAGAAAAAACGGAAAAAGAAAGCAGCCAGCAGGGGATTTAAGATTAAGACCATTAGATGATGACTCCTGCAGCTCATTTCAAAGTCAATTTTGACAACATTTTTATTAATATCTTTGGTAGGAAAAGAAAACCATGAATAATTGTCCTCTCTGTAGGAAGACTGTTCTATGCCTAGTAGACAATGGCTACTCAATGTTGCTGAATAGATCATAATATCTTAATACTCTATTCTTTCATAAGTAAGTGCGATTTCTGAAAACTATTGTGCTTAACGCAATGTTAATTTACAAGAACCGTTCTTGAATTTTGTGCAAAGCTTTTAAACCAAATGAAGACATTTCGAAAGCAGCGCGATGTCGAAGAAAATAGCAAACAAGGCAGTCTTCTCTTGGTGTCTTTAAAAAAACATGCTGAGTATAATTTGTTAGTTTTCCACGTTGATGTGTCATTGAAAGCTCGGTTTCACCAATATGCTGTCGCCGCGGCAACAAATTAAAATATCAAACAATTTGTCCATTTATAAGGATAAACTAAAATATATTAGCATTTGTCCATCTCTAAGGATAAACTAAACATATTAGCATTTGCCCATTTATGACGATAAAATAATACAGAGTGTTAAGACGGCTAAATGCTTTGCCAAACCCATTTTCTTCCAATAAATTTTTGTCTGGCGTGCGTTAAATATTTAGATCTCGATTAAAGTTTGCTTAATCGCTACCAACCGCTGTGAAATAAGCGAAAAGACGCCCTTTATCCATCATGCTTAGACTTTAGAGGTCGCCATGTTTTCAGCAATGCTTTTGAAATATATTTATCCACAGCTGTGGCTATAGAGTCAGTCGAACCTATAGACTGGATGAGTTGTGTTCATTTCATTGGGGCAAATCGATTTATCGACTCTTTAGGGAGTAAACATTTTATGTAAATTGAAATTCTAGTTTCATAATATAGTGTAGCACGAACGACAACTCTAGAATCGGCTTAAAGAAAGAAAATTAAACAGAGCAATACGAGTTTACATGTTCAAACCGTCGATGTCATGAAATTGCAGGTGAAAAAATGAATAATACACAAACTCATCATTATTGGCCTTCATCGAGTCTCTACTGCCTAGCCTTTATCTACTTTGTAAGATTTAGATGATATAGAATTATCCTTCTCGAGCTCTCGAAAATCTTCTTCGTTTCAGCTGTGTGTATTTAGCTTTTGTGATTTAGCGGACCTGTTTATCAGTCTCTCGTTATCAGGCATAGTTACTCAGAGCAAAAAATCTAAGAGAAATTTTCTACCTGTTGTTCGTCGATACCCCAGAAGCCGAGTTCTTCCTCAAACAGCGGGCCACAGACGTCTGAAGGGCAGTGAAGTTTTCCTGTGCGGTAAAAGTTCAAGATCTGCGAAAAAACGCCTGGGTGTCTGTCGAAGAAGTACTCCTGTTTAGAGGCATCGTACTCCGGTGTCCGGGCTACGGTTGTGTGATGTTCTCCAAGATAAGAGAGTCGAGTATCGGGAATGGTTTTTAATGTACTTAGAAAGGTTTCATGCCGAACTCCACCAACGTTTATCACAACTCGATTGGAACGCTTCTTACTTTTGCCAGAAGAAGGCATTGTCAGCTCAGTCAGATCGCCTTCTGTGGAGAAAAGAAATCTTAATATTAAACAAAGATGATGTGTTTGAACTGAAACTAACGTTTTTGCACTAAGCTTTTTCTTCGGTCCTTTTCATTCCACCGACACCGTTTCAGAGTCAATTAAATTCCGCTACTTACCTAGTCTTAGTATATTTTTAGATGATTTCAGCGCGAAGAACAACGCTTTTAGCTTTTCTGCGTCACCATTACACTTAGCGCTCTCAACGTTGGTAGCTTCGAACGCTTTCGAAAGTTTAAATTATTCTTTTTTACAAGCTGTATTCGTTGAAATGATTAAGAGGTTCGCTTAGGTCAGTGACCAATCACGCCGCGTCTTATGACGTTGTTAGATGACGGTGATATTTCAAAATTATGACACTGACAATCAGATTCGCTTGACCCGATCACTTTCCGCTTTTAGCGGCAAACCTGTCGCCGCCAGCGATGACTGTCGCAAATATTTTATTGCTTATGTCAAGCATAGTAATCCGGTCCAGCTTTCACTGCATGATTGCTTTTTAATCAGTTTTTCAAACAGTTTTAGGGAGAGGTTTTGATAAAATTTAATATACAAATTGAAACATGTACATGTTTGCCCCCGCGTAAAGGGCAATATAGCTATCGCCATAATGGTTTGAGTGTATTTTTAAGGTAATTGAGCGTGTCAGTTAACCTGTGCCAATGTCACGTCTATAAGCAAGCCTCTCAACTTCCTTAAATTTATGACTGAATAATAACTCTAACGACTCTTAAGGTTCACCCTCAACAGCAACAACAACAACAATAATAATAATAAAAACAACAACAACCACAACAGCCACAGCAGCAACAACAACAGCAACAAATCATCAACGAAACAATGCAGTGGTTAATGTTGAATTTCATCGATCAGAGACGCATCGAGAAGGTGGGAATAATGTTTGATAAAAGTGTGCCAATTTGAAAATGAGGCTAATTTTAACCTTCAAATTACAGAAGCAGAGTGATGCCTTCCTTACAGTACAGGGCTTGGGAGTGGTTTGATGATTCCCTTAAATGAACACTGTCACGACCATTTTGTTTTTTTGTTGTTGTTATCAAAACAGTGGTTACAGTTCGAGTACTGCTACTCATAAACAACGTGCACACCTAGGAAACAGTCAAGAAAGGAGAGCAAATTGTCTTCAGTTTGAGTAGATTTACTGAGACACAATGGCAGAGTTTTGCACTCAAGGACTCTTGTTTTTGAGTAACTGATGATGATGGCACTACCTAGTTCTACCAATATGCCAGTTTTAAACAAAACTTCAACAATCTTTCCAGCTTTCCACGTGTAAATGTACGTTGCAGTGGATTCTGAATTTTCGAAGTATGCCTATCATAGTAGCGCCTCTTTAATTGTACTGTGAAAAAAGAATACACAGGACTTTATATTGTGTATGTTAGATTAAGAGTTTACTCGTTACATTGAAATTATCAAGACCGCTGACGTGTCATTGGTTGATAACATGCGCGACATATACGAGATAATTCAATGTAACGCCACTATGCCCAGGTCCCTGATCCGATAATGACATCACAGAACTGTGCTTTCATTTCGTACTTTCAGGTAATCTGTTTATGCTTTTCAAATCCGACCCACGCCGATGCAATATTGAAAACATGTTCAATATACAAATTTGTGGCATATATTGAGTTATTTCGTCAGTAATAAGATGTTTAATGTGCTACTGTTGATGTAGGTAGAATTTCAAAAATGCTTCAAGCTCCATATTGAAATCAGATACAGTTTCGCAGATTTTCTTTACAAATGCTATCCGTCAAGTCATCACCACCCCCAAGAGTATTAAATATATTAACGTTAAAGAAGTATTGCAAAACAAAACCGTAATAAGGTTTGGGTCATTGACCTAAGATTTAGGTGTAGAAAATGTCTAATATCATCTTGAAAAAGGTCGGCGAGATCACAAAGTAAATTTCACTTAGTTTTGATACGAAAACGTTTTCTTGCAGCTCTTCATACAACAAAGAAACAACGTCGTTTAGAATATTTTATTTATTCCCCATCGTGCCCGTTATTGAGTCTTGAGTTCAGTTTAGTCAGATGTTCTATGGCTGGGATACTCTTGAGTGTAGAGAAACTGATTACAGATACTGAGGAAAACTCGAGTTTTATATTATTAGTGTCCGTTGTATATTTAATCTACAGAAACTTTACGCAAATCTACCGGAAAAACATGGCATATACTTCCTGAAAATGATTGATTTTTATCCTGTAAACATTTCAATACGAATGAAATATTGCTTGTCGTGTTACTCAAAGTTCTCTTGAGGCGCTACTCAAATCTCGAACAATCATAACACTACCTTAATCAATCGGATTGTTTTTTTGCATGTTGTAAAGCTGTAATTATTTTGTGTTTTTCCTTTTTATACTTTTGTGACCAAGGTATAATATTTCGCGTGTTGCTGCAGTTGGAACATTGAGCATTTAGCTGACTAGAATAAAACATTTAAGATTGACCTAACCAACGCAGAAGATCTTTAAATCAGCTTATTTTATCGGCTGACATGATGCGGTGATTGTTTCCTTTGAAGATTAAGCCTGTTCAGCCGTCTGTCTGTAAATTTGTTTTGGCAGGAAAGGACGTTCCTTCGTAAAATATCGTATGAAATCATCAAAATCTTACCTTAATAAACGAGACATACCACGTAGAAAGCGATTAACATTGTCTTCATCAAGCCATCTAACATCTTCTCTGTGCATTAGTTTCCAATCGAACAAGATGTGCGATGATCGTACCAAGTTAGCTTGAACTTGAATGTAATTAGACTGTTTTCTTCAAAGAGCCGAAACACGTTCTCCAATAATTCAAAATTCAATTCCCTCGAAGCCACAATGCTTCTGGTTTTATCATGTTGAAAGCGCTCGTGATTCCGATTGCATAAGTCTGACATCTGGAGAGTAACGAGTGGGAAGAAAGCCTCTTATGTCTACCGGATTTAGCGAAGTGAGTCGCCGGATCTCATTAACGATTTGAGCTTTTTTTTACCCCTCGGAGCTAACAATAACGACTTATATGGGAGACTTTTGTCAAGCTGCATAATAACAAAATTTCATGAATGGTAGTCCAGAAGGAGAATTCAGGTATTTGAAAACGGAAACAGAAAAAAAAAAAAAAAAAAATTAATGGGTATGCTACAGACTTTCTTTCATATTTTTAGCTAATTTTCGTACCGTTTAAAGTTTTCTCGCTGGAAGTTTAGTGAACAGATGATGCGAACGATCAAAAAAGTGATCTTACATTTATTTATGTTTTGGTGTTAGAAGAGGAAGTCATCTTTTCGAGACGATAATACTTCCTATGTTTTGAACAGAGCTGTGAGGATGGAGGCAGTTTTGCTTTTGTACAAAGTTTCGGCTGGGTCTATTTATGCTGCGATTTTCGAAATATAGTGTCGCTGTCCCGTAATCGTTTTGGTTATTACGCTTGTCTTGCGTAGCCAGACGTTTATTTATTTGAAGGGATATTTGATTAAATTTCCGTGAAATTTTAATAAATGAGCTCTCTCGAGCGCTCCATTAATGATGTGAAAGAAACTACGGAAAGAAAGTCCTTTAAAACGTATCGCGCTATTATAATCAAGAAAGCCAGAGAAGGGTTCCGGTGAACCTTTGGCATTTAAGAAGACTTCGCAGTTATAATCTAAACGAAAAACATATTGATGTCTCTATGGAAACAAGCTATTATTTGAATTAACCGGAGGAGAGCGCGCCATCTTGTTGAACATAGCAAAAAGTACATTATCATTTGACAAAACCTGCTGCAGATTAATCCTTGAAATATCTTCTCTATCTTGGCATAAATTTAATGTTTTCTTTAGCTACTTTAGATCAACCACAGTCGAACTTTTTCCCTTTTTTTTTTATTCGTATATTCAGTTTCGCTCATTTTTCTGTTGTCGGTGATGATATAAAGTCACTCAAAACAGTCTTGCATGAGATATGAACAAGGGGCGCGTAAAAAATGTAATGAAAAACTCTGCGTTGTTAGTAGGAAGAAAACCAGAGCTGTCTCGAAAATGCTCGCCACAAATCACGATATTTTGCTCAACCTTGTTCAAAGGTTGTTTTCTTAGCCGCTTACATTTGAACTACAAACAACTCTGAACACAGCGTGAAAACGAATCAAACCAAATAGCGACAATATGGTCACAGAAAATTTGCCAGAAACGATTTCCATCATTCCAAAAACAAGATAAGATTAAAAAAGAGAGACACGCAATTCTCAACCAGATGTCTGACTGAAATTTGAAATGAAAAATAATTCTGAATTGAGCGACAAAAATAAGTCCGAACTGCACGACAGCTTACGTGATCAACTGAGGGAAAAGAACTCCAGCTGGAAAACAGAATGCTGAACTCGACGACAAGAATAATTCTGTACTTGTTTATAAACGTTCTAGATTGTGGTGCCATCTTGAGCTGCTGATGTAGTTCAGACCGCAAGGCAAATAAGTTTTCCTGAAAGTTTCCTACTTCAGAAAACAGCTCAAAATCTGTGTTGCAGATGTAGAGTTCTGAAATTTAATTTTGAAGTACGATCATCCGGACCTCATTAAAACTACACTAGTGCCCAGTCTTCTCTAAGTACTCGTTGTTCATTTTGCCTAGTGAAGTATTTGCAGTAAATAATAGGAGACTTTTTTTTAAGGATTAGTATTCGTATAAACGGAACAATACTATATTAAGCGATGTTGCAATGATTGTTGCATATACTACCAATGATAGGGCTAAATCCCCAATCATTGGCAAGCAAGTTTTTAAGACAAAAAAAGATTCTTTCTGATGGGTTCAGAGCCACCTTTCATTTTCTTGAATTTAAGGCTGCTCTGAGCCTCTCGACCGAATTACACGTAACCTTCTGATGTGCGGCCAATGTAATTAAATAAGAGCTGATTTTCAGTGTCTTGGTGCAGAGTCAGTTGCGGAGGGCTATTTCTTTCAGCAACATTTAACAGGGAGCTGCTGATTAAAGAACGATTAAACAACAACGTGCACAATGAGGATCGAGTTGAAATTTACAGGTTATTATTTACGAGTCCAATCCAACTGTCCAATCATTGGAAGACAATTAAGGTTAATATCTAATGCCTTGAACGAAGGTGGCGGGAAAGTACGAAGAAATACAGAAATAAGAACTCGTGAACGCTTTAGCCTTAGTGACAAACGGCTACAGGGATAAAATGATCTGCTTTTAGAGCCTGTTGATATATACATGTTACGGCCTTTTGTTAGAATATGGATCACAATCATTAATCGTCATGAGCTTAGATATTTATTATTCAAGTTGCTTCGTTGAGTATCCTCTTGATCCAAAGTTGCATATTGTTTGAGTCCCGTCCACGAAGATTCTTGATATTTTCAACATCTGAGGTGTTCGTCTCAGCATCACTGGTTGTTATACGTTAGTAGTCATAGTTTTGTCTGTGTTTTCGTAGTTTGGACTCATATTTGACTCATTGGTTATCTCGTGAGAACTAGCATAAACTTTGCTAATTTGGTTAGCTTTCAAGCTAAAGAATTCGTGGACCGAACTGTTCCGAATACTTTTCGTCATCGAAGATCAAACTGTCGCAATTCTCATGCCCAGTTTCCTCGCTCTACGCTAGGAACACCTGGTACTATAACTCCCGATTTGGCGATTTGCATTTGTAGACTGGTGCCTGAGCAATAATTTTCTTTGAAATCGAACACGTTTCTACATTAGAGTAAAGATATAAAATGCAAAATTTATACTCTCTGGATAAAAATATAGATAGATTTTATTGTCCGGTAATGTGCAGCGCTTTTTTTTGGCTCTTGATAAGCATGGTTGTGATCAATTTACTATGCAATCATTAACTCGGCGACAAAATATTGACTCTTTCGGAGACCGACCAAACTGGAGAAAGAAATGTCGAGCGTTAACAAACACCATGCACGCCTTTCAATCAGTATTCCTCTGTTATTTCATTTCCCTGGACAGCGAGACTTAAGCAACTGCATGCTGCGCTCATTTCACAGCCAGATAAGCGTATTGACAAACCCGGACTAGAATGAAAAGGTAAAGTATATATCTTGCTGCTTAGTAAATTAGCATACATGTGTCACTAAGTTAAGGAGTAAAATAATTAACGCAGCATTTGAAACCCACCTTATAGTGCTCCTTACCTCATTCGAACACTGCTTCTCTGGTTCTGAATTTGGTTTAGGCCTAAATGTGCATTTTTTTTCTTATGAAGCGTTAACGCGAAGGATTAATCGACTCATTAAATACGCAGGAAGACAAACAATACAAGCAGGTGCAACTTTGACGTATGTTACATGACGCAGAGACTGTTTTGACACAGATCGATCTACTCAAAGCTGATGCATTATTTGTAAATATGGCGACCTGCTGCTTAAAAACACTAAAGAGCTAAATACAAACTTAACTGTGACATCGCAGTTGAATTGATGGTCGAAAAATAATACTATTCACAGAAGTATGATTATGCTATAGATCAGTCTTGTCGCCATTTTGAATACTGAAAAAACTTGGCATTACAAAAAGTGGCATTACAAAAACAGGGCACGATGGTTTTTCCCTTTTCCATGGAGATATTCAGCATGCAAATGCTTCAGTATCAGGTCGTTACGTTCAAAGGCTTCCTTTTGACAAGTTGTTATTAACAAGTCGCTTGCAATATTCAAGAAAAGAGAAAATACGATAAGTGGCGGTCATTGACGTAAGCTGTTTGACCCATGTTTCGTTTTCTCCACCAGCTGTATGTTCATAAACCCTCCCTGACTTCAGTCATAGCCCCCCCGCAACGTCCCTTTAGCGATAGCCCACCCTTTGGTAATTAGTTCCGGTGTGGCCTCACCATATCAAGCCCATCGGTCTAGCCCCCGTCATTATTATTATTAAGCTAATCGGTGTAATTTAACAATTACATTATGAGCTCCAGATTTCTATGAGGTGGTAGTCGGCCAAATCAACTATCACCTCGTAGAAATCCAGAGCGATAAATCTAATTGTTTTAGTAGAATTTTAACTGAATTACACGCAAAAAACGGTTTCTAATAATTTCTTTACGTGTTATTAAACTTCACGAATTGCACGGACTGAATTTTGTCATTGGAAACTTGCAATCGTTTTACGTGCGCACAACTTTGTTTTCAATCATTTCAAGTTTTTTAAAGTCAGAAACCGTTTATGTTCTTCTCAGGTTAGTCTCAAGAATTTTAATTTTCCAGTTGCAACAAAATGTTCCTCCAAAACTTCAGAAAAATGTAAAAGCGTCGACATTTCGTTGACGACTGTCAGCCACTGCATTCTAATGGCTGATAGTATACGAGTAGCTCAGCCAATCAGAGTGCAGCATTTGCATTAGTATACTAGTAGAATTCTACTAATGCTATATAGATAGCCCCCGCCATTACCTCACTTCCCTTTCTAGAGACCAAGGAGGCATAATCCATTAAAAACAATTTTCGCGTCATGGGACGAACGCAAAGCTGAGGAACACCCTTCCCTATTGAAAGGTTGTGTGATTGTCTTGAACGTTTTCAACGGATAAGAAAGATTTACCCAACATTCCTGGAACCCCAAAGTTGCTTTGACATTTGAAAGCTTATAACGGCACGGTCAACGACTTGTAAAAGAATTTATAAAGGCTGTTGAATGCAATAATCTTTAAACAACATATGATGTGTGCGAATGTTTGTCATTGGACCCTTTTATTTGCCTTCACTCTATGGAAACTCTTCACATCTGGAAACAAGTAATGTCCTACGTAAGATATTCGTTCGTTTTTTGCCCTATAAAGGTATAGTTTACGTTGCCTTCTTCACTATTCATGTAATAATGTAAGGATAAATTTATAGTGACACGATCTCTCTTTTCTGAAAACACTGCGCATTAAGAGGTAGGACATTAGGGGCAAATCATATGACTTTTGAGGGGGAAGGGGGGGGGGGTTGGAAGATTTTTTAAGAAGACTTTCCTGCAGCCAAGCAACGATAAATATTCCTGCATTGCCAGCTCTGAGAAAAAAAGATTATGCATGCGTTGTGCAGCCAAAAAAGATTCGTACAAATCATAGACAGCCCATCCCAGTACCTGTAGTCTAGCAAATCTGAGTCGTTTACATACAAGCAATGCTCTCTGATTCAATAAAGCAAGGTTGTCTCAAAAATAGGAGTTCAGTGAGTCTGAAATAAATATTTAAGTTATCTAATCCTTTTTCTAGCATGACAATCTTTTGTGCCATCAATAAACAATAATAATAATATTGTTTCGTTGATATGTGGCGGTTTGAAATTCCATTTTTCCACTTAGGAATTTGATTAATTCAAGGTCTTGTATCAACAAAATTAATTGTTATAACTCTATTATAAAGCCAGTGTAATGGGGTTGACAGGCCTGCATGACTTCCAAGCGTCTGTTTTAGCCTTTTTTCATAGCATGGCTCTCGCGCTATATCTTTAAGCAAAAGCCCTCGTTTGTATGAAAATTATGAGGGGCAAATCCTTGTAGATTTCGCTTAGTAGTGGTCGTTTTTCTATTATATAGCATTTTTTTCGTGACGATTTGTTTAAGGTTTGGTACTGATGGTTGACATTGTGCGACAAAAGGCAACATTTATTTGTTTTCCCTCTGCCTTGGTTGAAGGGTTAGTTTCCTCTCTTCAAAATTCACTTCAGAGAGGGTTGTCAGAATAATATTGTCTGGTTAACCTCTCTTAATAAGTGTGATCTGAAGGTTTTGATTTTCTCTTCAAATATTTTCTTAAAGGAGTTTGCTCTTAGAACTTTTAGAGCCTCTCCTTTGATGAAACCTTTTTTAACTCCCGGCGGGTGGGATGAGGTGAAGTGATATGTCTCAGTAGGCTTGAAGTGTGCACGCACATCAAGAACTGTCTTTTTTTAATCTTTCGCCTTTACAAATGTTAGTATCCAGGCATGCTGTTTCCTTTTAAATTTTATTGTCGGGTGGTGGTTATTTGCTTGTTCAATGAACTCTGCTATTTCTATTGCCGGTTTTCACATGACGTCACTAAAATTCAAACTACAAAACTATCGATCTTCCTGAGATTTTACTTTAATGATGTATAAGAGCAGCTGAAAA